TTTTTTTTTCTCAAAATGGTTATCAGAATTTACTAAAATTGAAAGGAAGGGATCAGGAACACTGGTTATTCAGCAATGCTGTGGAAAATACTATGTCAAGCAATAACTGATTACCTTACAGAATACTTAGAATTTGCCTAACATCATAAGTTGAAAATTCATTTATAACTATAAAAACTGAAAAGTTTTGCAATACTTTAATTTGCAAATTAAATTTCTAGGATTATAGCTACTTTGTAAACTGAAGGCATACAGTCCTAAGTCATGTCCAGAACTAACTCAAAAGATGTGCCTCATTATGAAAAAACACAAGTCCCTTGAGTTGCATTTGTTTCAACTTGAATGTTTATGCTCAGTCTTTTCCAAAGACAAGCTCCTGATAGGTTATCCAATCTCAAAGAGCCCACCCTAAATGTATATACATTACTAATACCAAATAAGCTCAGCATGATATATGTATACAAGTATATATGTATATACATGAATGTGTAGACATACACAGAGATACATGTGCACATATGCACATACCTCTACACATAATTACACATATATATGTTTGTATGTGTGTATGTAATCATAATACTTAAAGAAGAAATGGTCATAAATGTGATGATCAGGAAAGACCAAGGAGGACTTGGAGGGAGAGATTGTGGGGTAGAAATGATGTAATAGAGTATTCATGCATGAAATTCTAAAAAAAAAAAAATAATAAACAAAGTAAGCATTACAAAAGAAAGAAAGAAAATTAAAGTATGGTGGCAAGATGGCTCAATGTACACAGTAGCTTGCCCCCAAGTCTGGTGACCTGAGCAATCGGCATGGTAGGAGGGAAGAAATGACACTTGCAAGTTGGCCTCTGACCTTCACATGTACTCCATGGCACATGGACCAACACATATAGACATATGAAATAAACCATAAAAATAAGTAATAGATACATGTAAAATTAAAACAACAGAGTTACACTAAATCACTTCACCTATACTAAGGAAATGGAACAAGACAGCTGGTGCCACATGAGACTACAACATGGCTAAGTGAAAAATTAAAGCATACTGTTAAATGCTCCTGCTCAGAAAGCAAGATTCCTACCAAGATATCCCTATTCACCGGCAATGTACCTAATAACCCAAGAACTCTGACAGAGATGTACAACTACCAAAACTTTAATTTTGTATCAAGTTCTGTTGTTGAACATACACATTTTGTAAGGCTACAGCTGCCATACACAGTGATTTTTTTCTGATGCATCCTGGCAAGTTCAATTGGCAACCACTGCAGTGGCTGATGGGCAAAAGATGTAACTGAGGTTAATAGAATTCATCAACCATATGGCAGGAGAACCCTAAGAAGGAACCATCAAAGAACCACAGACATTATGTTATAGATTATTCCACAAAGAGTTTTAGCATTTTCCTTTAAAGCTCGGGATTCTCAGCCATTTTTTTTTTCCCTCCTAAACTCAGGCCTTTTTTAAAAAAAGTACCTCCTGATAACCTCTAGGTGGAAACTATTAGGACCATGTGAATAATCATTCAGACAGACTTGAAAACTGTATCTTCAACCTGGCTGTGAGACTCAAAGCACATCCTCCTATGTCCTAGAGCAAATGTTTGATACATATTTGATTATTAGTCACAATAACCAATTGTTTAAAAACTATCTTCTATTGATGACTAATCACTGGAATTCAATGGTCATAGCAACACCAATCATAGAAAATATTCTCCCAGTCATTCTTTTCTAGATGTAGCAGATGACAATTTTTATTGTAAACTTAGATTCATGTTTACATTGTATGCACATAAATTAAATAAACACCTGTTACCTCATATACAGAGATATGACTTTTGATGTCCAAATGATTCAGTCTGCAATTTATTTTACCTCTCTCCTTTGCATAACCTTTACATTGGGGATTTAATGATAGTACTCAGGTTTATTTGTAATTTTGCAGTAACTAAAAAGCCCCAACATTCCCTGAGGATCTATTAGCAGTTAATGAGTGCTGGGAAAGGTAATATAATTTTCTTCAGTGGTGAGCCCACTGATGACTTGCTCATGCTCTAATAAGCCCCCCATCATGCTCCTACAAACAACTGGAATTAGATTCACTGAGTCACACGCAAAAAGATTTTAATGTAGGAAGATGGGTTGTCAGAAAGAAATGTTTCAGTGGGAGAGATGAGGATGAAAGGGCAACAAGGAAGAAAACAACTGCAAGTCATTGCATACAATGTATGAAACTTAAAAGGAAATACAAGCAAATAAAAAAGCTGTCTATGATACCACAATTCTGTAAATTTATTAAAACTACTTGAATCAAAAGCAAACTGGGCATTCAAAGTCATTTCTACTATGTGGTGAATTATATATTTTTCCTAAATATGTTGTCACCATAGATTAATACAATTTAGTGTAGTTACATCTAACTTATAAGGAGAACTACAAATTTAAGAAAGTACTTAACACACCCAGCACATGTCCTATCTTGGACTTTTCATAGAAAATCAGCAGGATGGAACCTGAAGCATACCTGCTTTATAGTGTCATAGACACAGAGAGGTACAACATCAACTCTTTCGTGGATGTTTGTAATTAAAACTGCATTTAACAGTTCTTATAATGTGGTTATATGTTATCAAAGGAAATCCACAATGTTTCATTGTCCTTAATTCTCACTTTAGACTCTAGAAGTTAACCAACCCATATCTAATGATTATTGCAAACTATAATGGACAATGTGAAAATTTTGTAATCAAGAATCAATAAAAAGTCATTATGTGAATCATATAATAGGTACTCTATTTAAGGTCTATCTATGACTACCTACCCTTTGGTTATTGAATTTGTTCATAGCAAAAATTTAGACTAATTATGTGTGGACACTGTGTACACAACACTTATGCTGTGGAAACTCAATTTTTTTTTAAATATACTATTTAAACCACTAAAACAAAAGAGTAAAATGCTGATACTGAAATTATTCTACAATATTTATATCTAGCACAGATATGATAATTTCCGTCAGACTTATAATCAAGATAGTAGTCTAGGATCATACATTTGAAACAGAAATACGATAAATTATAGAAGAGAAACAAAAATACTAATTCAATTCCTTTGACTATCTTTAACATCATCATTGCAAGGGGAAAAATATCTTGCACACTCGAGGTTTTCTCTACATTTAATGCATGATTCATGCAACCAGGAGATGCAATTCCTAATGAAAATGCAGACAAGTATGAAAATGGTGTCTCTTCCTCTCCTGCTATGTAGTTGTTTCACTTCCATCTTATACATTGTATATAGTAGGTTCCTCTTGGAAAGATCAGTATGAAACTAAATCTTTTCTTCATTCCCTGTTTATTGCCCATGGTAGAGAATATTTCATCAAAGCAAAATCATTGCTAGAAATCCACAACAGGGAGCTGGAGAGATGGCTCGGCAGGTAAAAGTGATTGCAGCTCAAACCTAGTGACTCCAATCCTAACCTATTTTGGAAGGAAAGAACCTCCTCCCACTAGTTATCCTCTGACTTCCACATGCACACTATGGCTTATACACGGCTACAATACACATGCACACACGAGCGCGCGCGTGCGCGCACACATACACACACACACACACACACAACACACACACACTACATATACACACTAATAAGTAAGCCATATCACTTCCGATGTTCAAATTCTTATCTTACACTTTGTCACTTCTATACATAGTGCTCTGTTCATAATTTTAATTTTGTTGGAAAACTCAGGGATTTCTGATTTCAAGACAATGTTCTCATTTTTCCTTCAATAATTGTAACTCTGTTGTTTCCAGGAAGCTAAATCTCCTTTTGAAATATTGTTTCAATGAGTGACAGAATTATTTAGGGCTTCTCTACATGCATGCTTCACTCCATTATGTGAGAAATGTCTTACTTTATGCTGAACTTAACTCTCTGAATAAAATGATCTTGCATCACTCTCAATGTTACAGCTCATTTTAAAAAGGAGGGCAAAATTGGCAATATTGTATGCTCCCAATGGAGGTAATTAAAATAAATATTGAAGCAATTATTTATTTTAATGAGCTACCAGTGATCAAAAATAACTGAGAAAAAAAAACTCAGACACAATAGCTAGCAACAAACTGTCATAAAGCTTTTCCCTACCCTATGAATTAAATTATATTTTTGTTCTTTTTCTTTTTTTTTTTTTTTTAACAGTACTTTAAACAACCAAAAGCCACTATTTCCTAAGCAGGCATTTGTCAGCCACTGTGTTGGATCAATGTAATATAATACCAAATAACACTGCATTTATCTGTTTTGAACTCAATATAATGCATATCTCAAGTAATAAATGTACTTATTAAATAGATGTCTAAATTATAACCAAAATATCTGATACTAAAAGTAACTTCTTTTCTAAAAACGTTATGGAGTTAGAGATATTCACAATGGTTATTCAAAATTGAGAGTTGTTTGTTCTCAACCCAAACTGTTTATTTAAAATTTTACATTTATGTTGTGTCTGTACATGAGTTATGACATGTGTGTAAAGTTCAGAGGGCAACTTGAGGAAGTAGATTCTTTCCTTCTACCAAGTGATTTCTGAGTCTCAAACTTGGGTCCTCAACCTTGACAGCAAGCACCTATACCTTCACAACCTATTTTCTGCCTAAATGTTGATTATTTTGAGGGTCAAACCCACCATGATTTTTTAAAGTCATAATTTGAAGAAATAAATTTTAGCATTTCTACTATGGCCAGTAGGAAACCCCATAAATAATGTATTATTTATAATTACTGATATTCATATTATTCTCATTCCAGAAATAAATCTTATAAGAAAATAATATAGGTATTAAAACTAAATAAGAAAAGACAATTAAACTGCTCAATATATATACAACTTTCCATACATTCGCATATTTGTTTTGTTGATACATTTTGCTATGCTCCATTCTTTTCAAGGCATTTAAAGCTTTTAAGTGGTACATACCTGTCCAGTCTCCTACTACTTTAAAGTGGACACCAAATGTTGCTTTGGTTTCAGTAGGACACTGAAAAAAAAAAAACACTGGAATCAATTCAGATTAACTTTTTTATTTTAGAAGTATATGATCTGATCCAAACTTTTATTGTGATAACAAGCCCTCAGATCAACAGATAATGGAAAGAAACAGGATACAATTTATGACAGAAAAAGCAACACTATCTGATCATTAGGACATCTGAATTTCTCTGAAGACCCATAAATAACATACAAAACAGAAAATACACAAAAAATTAATAGTATATGGTATATAAATATTAATCATGTTAAAATATCTTTTGAGATAAAATGTAGAAGCCACAGGGAAGAAGAAGTAAGAACTGAAAAATAATGACCTTTGTGTGTCTTGTTCATAGACATTATATATTTTGCATTGGGACAAATCAAAGAGTAAAAAATTCTAAATAAGGTGTGAATTGTCTATGTCCAATATGATACTGGTCAAAATACATCTAATACATTTCATCTTTTAATTCTTAGGAAAAATTTCTGCATGGTAACTATACAGCCAACTGAGCTTCAAAATGGAAGTAAAAAAAGATTACTCTGTGGTCCCTATTAACCTAAAAATCACCGAGGCAGTCAAAGAAAGAATCCATTTCAGCTGGTGATGAGAAATATTTCCCCAATTTTCCAGATTGTTAATTGCTTATTAAACAATCCCCAAAATTAACATTTGTCAATATTGGATATTCTTTTTTCCAATCCATTTGGTAATGTTAAGCAACCTGAAGTTATCACAAGATGTGGGCTTCAAACTTTGTGAAACTCAGAAAGAAGTATTATCCTAATGACTCTCCAACTGTTTTAGGACTGTTGACTAATGTCCTGTTGCAGACTCACATATGAAGGACACATACCTGTTAAATCCCATGAAACTGAAATATAACCTAATGATTACAGATGAAGGTTATCTGCTAGTGACTACTCAGCTTAAATCAAGTACTGTGCTAACAATTGTATCTATTTACTCTCATATAACTTTGAAGAGTGTCTTTCATAATTACAGAAACAAAGCAACTAAACTATAAAAAGGAGTAGATCTGGGGGAGAGGGGAGTTGGGGAGGGAGGAATGGAAGGATGGAAAAAACTGTGGTACAGATGTAATGTTTGAGAGAAGAATAAAAACACAAAACACAAAAATACAAGACAGAATTTAGACTGGGCCTCTTAGACTTAGGTTTTAAACATGCCAAAGTAGTATCTTCATTAAAGCAAAGATATGGAAAAGAGGAGATCACATAAAAATCAAAAGAGTGGGTAGTTAAAAGATACACTCCAAAGATTATGAGAATCTGGGTACAATATGAAGCAAAGGGAAACGAATAGAAGGGTTAAGGCCTAGAGGAAGGGAAAAATAGCAATAGCTGTAAAGAGCACAAGACTGGAGACTGGGTTATTCAACACAACTTCAGGATCTCGGAGCTAACTATGCCAATGAATCCATGGTGGTCATTTGAGAATCTCTAGGTGTCCCTCTTGCATGTTAACATGTCTACTGGTATCATCCTTGTTTTGTCATGTTTAAGCAGGCATGTTAGTAAGAGTTCATGGTGTAGCTTCTCTGACATTTCTAAGTGACACCAGTTCCCTGCTTCTTTGGCTCTTACAATCTTCCTACAACCTCTTCAGCAATGATATCTGACCCTTAGACATAGAAGCTGTTTTGTAGACAAAGAACTATAGGCAACTAAGGAAGGCATTTTGAGAGTGAGAGAAACCCCAGGGAAGAGCATATAATACCAAATAGTCATCCCTGGAAACATACACACAAGTCACATTATATAGACTGAGAAGGTTATCACATTGTAAGGACTGAGCAGATTATATTGATATACTTAGGAAATACATACACGACACGTAGCAACAATTAAAGAATTTGAAGAGAACAAGGCTGGGGGTATGTGGAAAGAATTGATGGGTGAAAGGAAAGGGAAGCAAAAATTGATGTAATTATATTATAAAGTTAAACAATTCACTCCCAGCCCCTCCCCCCCTCAAAAAAAAGGGAGAAAGAATACTCTGTGGAGAAGTGCAATAAGGGAGAAAAGGATATGACACGGAATTTCCAAACTGATACTTTAAAACTGATTTTTCTGGTAGCATCATTGTTGCTACCAAGAACATGCGATTTCATCTGATTTTAAACACTGAAAATACTATTTAGCCATTATCATACTAAAACGTGTATTTATGAATTTATGCATTTATAACATTTATAACTGATTCTGAATTTACTCTATCTACATTCTAGTTATGAACAACTCTGATAGAAATCTAGTTTTCATTAGTAAATTTAAAAATAAGATACTGTCCTTTTAAATAACTCACCACTTTAACTTCATAACACAGAAGACTGCATAATAAAAGATGGAGCTTACAGAGAACAAGAGTCGCAATAATGTTACAGGATACCAGTGTGACTGTGTGTGTTTGTATGTGCGTGTGACTGTGTGTGTGTGTGTGTGTGTGTGTGTGTGTGTGTGACTGTGTGTATGCATGTGTGTGAAGTAAGAGAGCAATTGCCCACATGTAGCCTAGATGATGGTATCTGGTCTTTTTTCTGTTACTTCTCCACTTTATTTTTCTTAGAAAGTGTATTGCCACTGAACTGCAGGTCATCAATTGTCTAGGCCGAGTGGCCAGGAAGCACCCAGGGTCTTCCTGTCTCTATTTCCTCCCCAAGGCTAGGGCAACAGAATGTCATGCCTTTTACCTCTTGCAAGTGCTAAGGATGAAACTTGCATCTACATGTTTGTGCTGCAAGCACTTTACCCACTAAGCCTATTTTCCCAACACACGAAGCTGGTATTCTGATCATCTAAGCACACTTGCTATTTCCTCAATTGTAAATTGTGGGGGAACCTGCCCCTACATTTTCCCCAGGGTACTCTTGAGGAGAGAGGGATAAGAGATATTAGGTAGAAAGATAGAGGGGAGAGAAACAGAAACAGAAACAGAGAATAACCTCAGGAGGGCCTGGATCAATATCCACCAGCCCCTATATTTTCTTCTAATGGGTATTTTATAGGAATGTCAAGGGGTGGAGCAAGAGAACTCCCCATAGCACAGCCAAGTACAGATCCTTCCAATTACCTGGTAACCACACACATGGTCAAGCAATCCTCTAATGCAGCCTGTTGAGTAAAGCAAGCTCATATCTCACTAGGAAACCTTTATGGGCCTCCACAGTAAATGAGAGCTCAGGTAATGAAAAGATAATGCAAGCCAAGGAGAGAGTACAGTGAGAGGCAAAAAAAAAATAGTTTGCTCCTGGATCCCGTTTACATCCATATTGCAATAATCTCACAATGAATTATTGCTGTGGATATCAATCTGTTTGTTGTGAATGTGTTGCTCTGATTGGTTAATAAATAAAATGCTGATTGGCCAGTAGCTAGGCAGGAAGTATAGGCAGGACAAGCAGAGAAGAGAATTCTGGGAACAGGAAGGTTGAGTCAGGAGTCATCAGCCAAACACAGAGGAAGAGAGATGTAAAAGTACTGGTAAGCCACTAGCCACGTGGCAATTTATAGATTAATAGAAATGGGTTAATTTAAGATATAAGAACAAGATAGCAAGAAGCCTGCCACAGCCATACAGTTTATAAGTAATATAAGTCTCTGTGTGTTTATTTGGGTCTGAGCAGCTGCAGGCCCAGGGAGGACTGGAGAAAACTCCAGCTACAAATTATAAAAACGAATATACATATCATCCAAATATTCATATTTGTCTTCTCTTCTTTCATTGAAGACACTATAGAAGGTATTCACATATGATGCTTAATATTAGGGTTCAGAGGACACTATAAACCTATTTCTCTCAGATGCTGGCACTTTCAGATATAGATTTGGTCTTGAACTGATAAAATGTGATGGAAGTTCTAACAAATTTTTATGAATAAATTCTTATAGGTCACTCAAATCCCTTCAAGTTCAAATAAAAAAAAACAGAGGTCAACCCAACTTACACCTGAGCATATTGCCCATATTTGAAAGAATAATGTATAGAACAGCTACATGTGTAGTATGACAAAATTAATGAAGATCATTTAGTTATATTCCACTATCTTTTCATAAATAACATGCAGAGTCATTAATATTGCCTGAAGAGGTATGCTCATTTTTAAATGACTTCTCATGGATTTGTAAAATTGGTTTTTTTAAGTCTCAAGGGGAAGAAATAATGAAGAACTGACAAGGATATTTTTCCTAGAAAACTAATAAAGCAATATGCTTAATAAAATTTCCATTACAATGTTTCAGAAAATTATTTGCGGTGAGATTCATAATAAAATAAAAAAGCTCACATTAATTATTGACATATATAAAATGTTCAGGAAGATTATATATACCAAGTGATTAATAATATAAAATCCTTGGTAGTAAAATTTAAAAGAGACAGTGAGATTACTGAGTAACTTCACAAATACCTTTAAAAAATGTATTAAATACTTCTACTATAATGAAAATTTCAAAATAATTCAAGAGTTTAAGTAAAAGTTTAAGTGTAAGAATTGCATCACAAAGTCCTCCTAGATACAAAGATGGAAGCTTGGCTCATGTTGATCTTAACATAAATAGCAAATATGTATCACCTAAGATTAAGAATAAGAGAAGAAAAAAGTGCTAGAATTGTCAATTGGGCTTCAGTAACAGGTCTGCACCCTTACTTCCATAAACTGGAGGCAACAGATCTTTTCTTTCTATTTGTTTGATAAGGCATTAGACTTTTAACATGAACAATTTGCAGTGGCTCAAAAATATATCTATTTTAGAAACATAATATAAAATAATGTCTCTATGCATGTATTTATTAAACATAAAAAGTTTAAGAGATAATACTTTTGTTTTTAAATAAAAAATCTTGAAATAAAAAAAATGATTAAAACTTATATCTAAATTTTATATGTAAAGTTTTGGTGTAACCAAATCTGGTAAATCAGACAAAATGATCACAAATCACAAATGATCACAAAAATGTTCTTTAATCATTTTTGTAATCTG